TCTGTATTGGACAAATCAGGTTATTCTTGTTCATTTGGAAACAGTCAATTCAGTTTATCTTTTAATTCAAATGTTGTGGGAACCGGTTACTTGAGTATTTATGACAACCTATATTTGCTTGATACAATTGCTTCTTATAATGAATCCTTGCATGTGGAATCACGTGGTACTAAGCGTAAATTAAATAAGGAAAATTCGGCGACATTATGGCATAAGCGCTTAGGTCATATCTCAAAAGGTAGAGTTGAGCGTCTTGTGTCTGATGGCATTTTGGATTCCCTTGATTTTTCGGACTTCGACGTATGTGTTGAATGTATCAAGGGAAAACAGACCAAAGTGAAAAGATTAGGTGCCAACAGATCTTCGGATGTCTTAGAATTGATACATACGGATATTTGTGGGCCATTCCCTACGGAATCCTGGAATGGTCAATAATATTTTATATCATTCATAGATGATTACTCACGTTATGGGCACCTATATCTTATTTATGAAAAATCTGAGTCTTTGGACATGTTCAAAGCCTATAAAGCTGAAGTTGAGAATCAATTCAACAGCAGAATTAAAACCGTTAGATCTGATCGTGGTGGTGAGTACTACGGCAGATATGATGGTTCAGGTGAACAACGTCTAGGACCATTTGTTAGATACCTAGAGGAATGCGGTATCGTCCCACAGTACACCATGCCGGGTTCAGCTAGCATGAATGGTGTAGCTGAAAGACGAAACAGGACTCTTAAGGATATGGTAAGAAGTATGATTGCTCATTCTTCTTTACCAGAGTCACTCTGGGGAGAAGCACTTAATACAGCAGCTTACATTCTGAATAGAGTACCAAGTAAAGCAGTTGCTAAAACACCTTATGAGCTTTGGACTGGTCGAAAGCCCAGTTTAAAGCATTTACATATTTGGGGATGTCCAGCTGAGACAAGGCCTTATAGGCCAAATGAAAAGAAATTGGACTCCAAGACAGTTAGCAGCTACTTTATTGGGTACTCTGAACGCTCTAGGGGCTATAAGTTTTATGATCCCACTATAAGGAATATTTTTGAGACGGGAACAGCAACATTCTTTGAGGATGTTGAGTTTGGGGGGAGAAATAAGGTTAGAGACATTAGTTTTGAGGAGGAATTGGCTTCAGATCCAATCCATACAGTTACTTTTGACAATATTCAGGTTCCTATACCTGTTGTTCCTCAAGAAGTAAATCCGATACCTCAAGATGACAATGTTGAACAACTCCCTGTTCCAGAAGAACAAACTCAACAACCTCAAGAACCAGTGCCCTTAAGGAGATCCACGAGAGAAAGGAGATCCAATCAACTTCCTTCAGGCCATGAAAAGTTCTAACTCTCAACAGTGGATTGATGCCATGAATGAGGAGTACAAGTCTATGCAAGACAATAAGGTTTGGGAACTTGTCCCATTACCAGAAGGTGCAAAACCAATTGGTTGTAAATGGATTTTTAAAACCAAGCGGGATGCAAACGGTAATGTGGAGAGGTATAAGGCGCGTCTTGTGGCTAAAGGCTATACTCAAAAGGAAGGCATTGATTATACAGAGACTTTCTCTCCGGTTTCATCGAAAGACTCTTTCAGAATAATCATGGCACTTGTTGCTTATTATGATCTTGAGTTACATCAGATGGATGTTAAGACTGCATTTCTCAATGGAGACATTGATGAGATGATTTATATGGTGCAACCAGAAAACTTTGTGTCAGGAGACCCAAAGAATATGGTTTGCAAATTAAGGAAATCCATCTATGGACTCAAGCAAGCTCCTCGTCAATGGTATCATAAGTTTCAACAAATAGTTATCTCGTTCGGTTTTGAGATGAACATTGTTGATGACTGTGTATATCACAAGTTCAGTGGGAGTAAGTATATCTTTCTGGTTCTGTATGTCGATGACATATTGCTTGCCACTAATGATATAGGCATGTTGCACGAAACTAAGAGATTTCTATCAAAGAATTTTGAGATGAAAGATCTTGGGGACGCCTCTTTTATATTAGGGATCCAGATACATCGAGATCGCTCTCGGGGTATTCTTGGATTATCACAAAAGAGCTATATCGATAAGGTACTTAAAAGGTTTGGCATGCAAGATTGCAGACCAGGTGACACCCCTGTTGCTAAAGGAGACAAGTTTAGTCTCAATCAGTGCCCTAAAGGTAACCTTGAAATTCAGGAAATGCAGAAGATTCCTTATGCTTCGGCTGTAGGAAGTCTAATGTATGCTCAGGTATGTACGCGTCCGGATATTGCGTACATTGTTGGGATGTTAGGCAGATACTTAAGCAACCCTGGTATGGATCATTGGATAGCAGTCAAAAGGGTTATGAGGTATCTTCAGAAAACAAAAGATTACATGCTCACATACAGAAAATCAGAGAAATTAGAGGTCATTGGGTATTCGGACTCTGATTTTGCTGGATGCCAAGATAGCAGGAAGTCTACATCAGGCTACATTTATATGTTAGCAGGAGGAGCTATATCATGGAAAAGTGTCAAACAAACACTAGTAGCTTCCTCCACTATGGCAGCAGAATTTGTAGCTTGCTATGAGGCATCCAATCAGGGAATATGGCTGCGAAATTTTGTCACGGGACTGCGCATTTTGGAAAATGTTGAAAGACCACTAAGGCTATATTGTGACAATAAATCTGCAGTAATGTATTCCAATAACAACAGGAGCTCAACTAAGTCAAAACATATTGACATTAAGTTCCTGGTTGTGAAAGAAAGGGTACAGAGTGGACAGATATCCATAGAGCACATTGGGACAAACTCCATGATAGCTGATCCTCTTACTAAGGGATTGCCACCTAAGGTCTTTCATGAGCATACTGCTCATATGGGTGTGGTATTATTTGAGGATGTTATGTTTTAGTGGGAGTTTGTAATTGTGGTGCTTTATGTTTGGTTGTATTGTCTGATCAGAATAAAGTATGTATTGTCTACACTCTGTTACATTATGTTTGGTTTTGACCTCACTAAGGAGGACCAGTTGAAAATAGACATGTACTGATCACATTGCATGCAATTTTCATGCTGCATATCCATGATTGATCTATGTCGTTTGATTGTATTGGTATATGTGACCATTGATGGGTCGAGTCACGATAAATGTGATGAAGGCCGCTTTGATCCTATATTGATATAGTCAATGGACGAGATTGTTCGGAAATACCATTTCAGTGATAGCAATTTTTGAGCTCATAAGGTTATACACAGTTTAAGGAATCATATGGTGCCCAAGTGGGAGATTGTTGGATTTAATCTAATAAATCTATTTGTGGGCACATATGATTAATCAATGTGTATTGCTATCTTTCAGGATAACCCACTAAAGTGATCAATTAAGTTGGGTTAATTTGGTATTTAAATAAGTCATGGGGTTATATGTGCAGATACCAGGTTTGTGATTTATTGAGGGGCTAAATTACAAAAGTACAACATCTATAAATAAGGGGTTATGGTCCCTAATCTAGGGTTACATTCTCTAATTCTCTTCAACCCCATCTAAGAGAGAAATTCGGCTAGAGAAAACCCTAAGGTTAGAAGATCCAAAACCCATCTCAAGGTTCAACTATGGATTCAGGTATAAGCTTCCGCTCTTTTAGATTCTTGTTAATCTCTTTGAATTAATCAATGGCTATATGATTTTAGATCTCAAGTTTTATTTAGATCTAACACATTATTATTATAAACTTCATGGGGATGCAGATAATGAAGAAAATGGCCTTTTCTGAGCATATTTTCTATAAATTTTGTTAAACTTTGGTTTGATTTCAATCTTGGGTTGTTCGAGTCTTGGTTTCTCTCGAGTTGGTTTTAGCCTTGGTTCAGTTTTGGATATTTTCAGACTTGGTTTGGCCAAAATTGGTTTGGTTTCATATATTGTGTTTCAGTTGATGCTTGGCCTTTGGTTGGTCAGCTCTGGTTTCAGTTTGGTTTCAGATGTGTCATTCGGTTGGCCTTTGGTTTCAGCTGTTGGCCTTTGTTTCAATTTTGTGCATGGTTCAGCCTGCTCTCGGCACCAGTTTCAGCTCTTGGTTGGCCTTTGGTTGGTCAGCTATGGTTGGCCTTTGGTTTCAGTTGATGCTTGGCCTTTGTTTCAATTATGTGCAGGTTTTTAAACTGTTCTCGACCTTGGTTGGCCTTTGGTTTCAGTTGATGCTTGGCATTTGTTTCAATTTTGTGCATGGTTTCAGCCTGCTCTTAGCCTTGGTTTCAGCTCTTGCTTGGCCTTTGGTTTCAGTTGATGCTTGGCATTTGTTTCAATTTTGTGCATGGTTTCAGCCTGCTCTCGGCCTTGGTTTCAGCTCTTGCTTGGCCTTTGGTTGGTCAGCTATGACTGGCCTTTGGTTTTAGTTGATGCTTGGCTTTATTTTCAATTTTGTGCTGGTTTTAAACTTCTCTCGGCCTTGGTTTCAGCTCTTCGTATGCGTATTTTGTTGGTCAGCTATCGTTGGCCTTTGGTTTCACGTGCTAATCTGTTGTTCATCATTTGATTCACTTGTGATCATAAGATAATTGATTTTGTTCACAATTTTTATCTTTATATGCACAACTATGATGATGAGTGGTAATCTTACCATGGTGACCACAATCAAGTTTTCTTGATCAAACACTACAAAATGAGTACATCAATTGTTTTCTTTTTTTTTCAAGTTGAACCGAACTAAGAAAAATGGTGGAAAGTATTTTCACTCCATATTTTTTGACGAAACAAACACAAGAAACACTTTTCAGAAAAATAAAGAAAACATAAGAAAGTGAAGAAAAATCATTTTTGAAAAAGGGAGGAAACAAACCAAACAGCCCCTTAACGGAAGCTGAGAGTCCGCTGCTCTAGCAGAACTCCTATCTTTCCCCGTCATCGCAGTCACGTACGAAGGAACTCTGCTTGCTTAAACTGCTTCGAGAGACAACATAAGCGTCTGCGGGGCCACTGCTCCGTTGTCCCTTGTCTTGTCAGGGGGAAAAAAGAAGAAAGAAAAAGAGAAGAAGGAAAAAGCAGGAGCTCCATTAGCGACGAGATCGGCGATTGGTCCAAGCTCTAATTTTTCGCTTATCTCTTCTTCCTCTGTCGAATACAAGGTAACTTTCAAAATCCTAGAGATCTGTTTTCACTAAATCGGTTCATTCTCGTCGCTATTCAGGATTATCGTGTAGTAATTGGGGATCTGAACTCGGTTTCTAGGATTCTGACGCTGTAAATGCTGTTATTTAGCTGGATATTTTCTATAATCACAGTCATTGGCATGTGATCTGTTATTAAGTTAATTGCTTCTTGACAAAGTTAGGTTTTTAACCCAGGGATGCCTTCTAGTACCCACAGATTCATTTTGATCTTGTGATATTGAGGTTCTGAGGTTTTTCAGAGTGTAGAATTTAAAATGTCCAAATTCAGGAATTATGAGGTTTTTCTTTGAAAGTTGCGGACTTTGAGTGGTTCATTTAAGGATCTTTTGGATTGGGATCCACATTTCTAAATTTGGTTCATATTTATTTATTTATTTATTTATTTTTTGTTGTCTTGTGCTAGATTTTTAAACCATGGAGAGGGTTGGGGAAGTAAGTGTGCAATCACCTAAAGCTGCCACCTTTGGAGAAGAAGATATTATGAAGTACCCTATTCCTTTGACTAGAACTGCACATCGCAACACAAGCCCATCTCGGCAGAAGGTTATAAAAACAAAGCCGCGGGGCTTTGATGAGGAGACTGTTACCACATTTTGTAAAGTAATTCATTCTGATGTCCAAATGGAAGATGGTGTATGGGCGCAGTTGCCGGATGATTTGCTAACTGAAGTCCTTGCTCGGGTGCCTCCGTTCCTAATATTTAGGCTGCGATCAGTTTGTAGACGGTGGAATTCTATTCTCCATGATAGTGGCTTTCTCAAATCTCATTCTGGTGTTCCCTCCCATGGCCCTTGTCTTCTCACTTCTTGGAAAAACTCACAAAGCCATCAGTGTTCTGTATTCAGCTTACCCTTGAAAACTTGGTACAAGATCCCCTTCAGTTTCTTGCCTGATTGGGCATTTTGGTTGGTTGGTTCTTCCGGGGGTCTAGTTTGCTTTTCTGGTTTCGATGGGCTCACTTTCAAGACTTTAATTTGCAATCCCCTGTCACAAACATGGAGGGTGTTGCCTAGAATGCATTATAATCAGCAGAGGCAATTGATCATGGTTGTTAATAAGACAGACCGTTCATTTAAAGTGATTGCGGCAAGTGAAGTATATGGTGACAAGACATTGCCTACTGAGATATATGATTCAAAACTTAATAGGTGGTCTCTTCATCAGATTATGCCAGCTGTTAATTTATGCTCATCGAAGATGGCATTTTGTGACTCAAGGCTCTATTTGGAGACGCTTTCTCCACTTGGTTTGATGATGTATCGGATGGATAAGGGCCAGTGGGAACATATCCCAGCTAAGTTTCCGAGGTCTTTATTGGATGGTTATTTAGTTGCTGGTGCGCACAAGCGTTTATTCTTAGTTGGAAGAATTGGGCTTTACAGTACACTCCAGAGTATGAGGATTTGGGAACTAGACCATGCAAAGACAGTTTGGGCGGAGATAACTAGGATGCCACCAAAGTATTTTAGAGCATTATTGAGATTATCAGCTGAGCGTTTTGAGTGCTTTGGACAAGACAACTTAATTTGCTTTACATCTTGGAACCAAGGAAAAGGCCTTCTTTATGATGTAGACAAGAAAACATGGTCATGGATTGCAGGATGCGCACTCCAGCTGTGCAATAGTCAGGTTTGCTTTTATGAGCCAAGATTTGATACTTCTATCTGGTGATAATCTGCCTTGAGTCTTAATGCAAGGAAGGTGCAGATGAGGATGTTCGGAGATCATGATTTTACTTGTAGTACTTCACTTTCATGTACAATTTGAATCACAATTCATGAGCTAATAAAATTTTGTTGTTTTAAGGAATATGTGCTCCTGCTTAGATTTTCAGGATAGTTGGTCAGTACTACAGTATTATTTAATCATATTTCAACAAAGAGGAAGCAACTAACCATTCGTAATAAGCTCAGAAGTTTGTGGCGCCATTGTAATACGGGTTGATATTTCTTGTTTATTAAAAATGTTTTTCGTATTGAGTTCCATGTTCTTTTTAGATTCAAGTACATCTCTTCAAATTAAGGTCAATTGCTTGGACCAAAACAAAATCTGCGACTAGACCATCTACATTGGGGAAGATGCTGTATAGCGTTGGCTTTTATCTTTAGCATTCCATACCAGTTGACACCGGTAAGTCCTCTAACATTTCTTGTATCATCTTTTAGAAGTTCCCTCTATTTCTATCAATAATTTGTTCGTCATTGGAGAAATTTATAGTAGGTCAAACATATTATCCTGTAATAGTGTCTTATTTCTTTAATACTTCATTGTTTTGGCTCGATATAATTGTTAGGTCTTGTAATATATTTGGTTAAAGCACAATACTTAGGAGGGGAGTTGATTTAACATGTTTGTTTACTTGATAATAAATGTGATATTGACCTGGTAAAGTGTGATGTATCAATAAATGTCCTCTTGAAGGTTTGAGGACCAGATCGACCAGATCAGCTACCAATAACTAGGGGGTGAGCAAACAGTCTGTTTAGTTGGTTTTGACAAATTTTGATGAAACCGAAAACAAATCGTTTTGTAATTGAAACCAAACAAAACCACCTGAAATTAGTTCGGTCGATTCGATTCGGTCTATTCAGTTTGGAATCAGACATCTTTAATTAAAAAAGGTCTATTTTGGCCAAAAGAAAGATGTGTATCAAGAAATCAGTTGAAAAAAATGTAAGTTAAGGGATCGATAAAAGAACGATGTAAATTAATTGACATGATCAACAATTTAAGGAGAAAAAGAGAGAAATTTGGGGACAAATAAAAAGAAAGAAACAATGTGGTTTAAACGAACTTTAGAGAGTGGTCGGCTCGGTTTGTTCTGGTCGAAATTTTATCAAACCTAATCGATCGAATCAAATTCTAAAATCGAACCGAACCTTCAAAATTCGGTATGTTTAATCGATTCAAATCGATTAATGCTCACCCCTACGAGTGACTGTTTTACCTTAATCTCTTAGATTATGCATCTTAAGATATGGCATTATTTCTTTCTAATTTGTTTCTGGCATTTCAGACCATGCATAAAATGTTGAGAACAATGCTCTTCTATCTTGGAACTTGAAAGCTTTGAAATATTCAGTTTTTTCCCCCTATCCTTGACAATTGATGACTGATGGATACAATGTGGTTGACTATCAATCATGATTGGAGCTACTTTCATAGTCTATATGACATAACTACGGAGAGGTGGATAAACCCACCTCCAACTTGGACAATGGGTTCTGTAGTCAGTCAGGTCTTGCTTGTTACCTAGGGAGAAATTTGGAGCCAATTCATATTTGGAAGCAATTCATAGAAGAACGAATGGTGCCGGTTAGTGGGCAGTCCTATAATAAACTTTTCATTTGTTGGTTGAAGCTCTTAAGACTATGCGTGATATAGTTTCTGACTCTAGTTATGTTTAGTTAGGCATGGTTATTATAATAGCAGTAGTAAGTTATTTAGAATCTTATGTGTATGGCTAAATATTATAATAGAACTAGGGGTGGAAATGAACCAAATAATTAATAAATACTTTAGTTATTATTTGTTCATATATTCAATCAAATTCGATTTGGTAGTTTATCTATTAGTCAACGAATAATTTTTAGTATTCGGTTAATAAACAGCAAAAGTTAACTAAATGTATATTAGATATCTTCATTATTAAATATTCGTTTATGTTCCATATTTATTAAAAGGTAGATTAGGCATTTTGAAAAAAATCTAATTAGTTCCAACTGAGGCATAAACTTGGAGGAAAAAGGCAAATTTAGAAGGCAAATCATTATGATGCTTTGGAGGGTAGATTTACAAATATATATAATTTGGAGGGTGTATGTGCACAAATCTACAGACAAATTAAGAAATACAAAACTATGTTTACTACTAGAATCGAACATGAACCTACAATTTTGAAGCCTAAATCACAAACCAATCAAGCTAACAAACATTTGCAAATATTTACTGTGTCTAGTATATAAACGAATTGAATATGAATAGAATAATAGTATCAAATCAAATTCAAAGCCAAATTCGAATATTTAAAATCCAACCAAGTTCGAATATTCAGATATTCGATTCGATTTCATCATTTTCCAGCCCTAAATAGAACTCCTTATCTTGTTGATTGAGGTGACTTTTTAATTATTAACCATCAGTTAGTTGATTGTTCTGATGATCACCCGTCGGAGTAAAATCCCAACTAAAGCTTGCTAAATATATGGAGACAGATGACGAGGTAATGTGATAGAAGTAACAGAATAAATCCGTAGACTTGTGATGAGGAGGAAGATGAGGCTGCGAGTTGATGTATCATGTAGGACGATTATAAATTGAACAACTATTTTCATCAACCACTGTTAGCTTAAACCCATCTATACCCAATGGTGTGAGTACCTACCTATTCTGACCCACATCTAATGGCTTTGTGTAAATAAAGGTTTTTTTGTTTGCTCGGATTGGCTTAAGTTTTACTAAGTTTTAGGTTTGAGACATACATTTTCTTTACTGTGTTTTTCTTTATCTTTTATTTTCTAGCTAGCAAGGTGTTTTACACTTTTTACTTTTTTAGAAATTACATAGAGAATCAACTTTAATTGTCCAAGATAAACTTCAATAATTTGAACAGATAGTAATCAAAATTTGAATTTTGTTTCACATCCTTTCAGTTTCTAACAAATCAAAATTGGCAACAAGTTACAAACTTATAAACTCCCCATTATAAGATCAAATAAAAATATCTAAGATAGAAATTGAAGTAGAATATTAAAATTTGATGTATAAAAAAAGATTGTATTTACCCGGCTGAAGATTGAAGAATAATGGAAAAGAATGATAGAGATCAAAAGCTTCATCACTGAAGAAAGGATGAGATAACGTGATTAATGAGTGAGGGAGGAGATAGATAATTGCCTCCTCTTTGAAGCTGGTAGCCTAAAAAAAAGAAGCAAAGCATGTGTGGAAGATTGTTGAAGCATGTGTGGGAGATTGTTGATAGAGTCGACGACCTCTTGATCTTGAGCTAAAGAGGGATGGGACATAGAGAGTGACTCATGAGAGTAGACGGAGAGCAAAGGATAATCAAGATTTTGGGTTCTTCCAAGTGCTATGCTTTCTCTTTGTTCATAACTATATTTAAGTGGTGTTAGGTGTTCTTACTTCTTACAAAGGGATGAATGGTTAATGACGTGTTCATATGTCTAAGAATGAGGTTGTGGGTTTTGAGCAGGCAGGTTGGTTGATTTTGATCCTAAATTTATGCAGTTTGGTTGTGCTGGTTTTTGAAGAAAAAGTTATAAGACAGGATTTTTTTTAAGCCTTTCAAATTCATCAATTCTGAATGGGCCGAGTTTGAGAGGTTTTTCTACACTCATATTTTCGTTAGGTCTGCTTTGGGTTGGGACAAACTAGAACCTATTAGACAACTCTAGTTATCATCTTATGTTGTTAGCTCTTCCATTTGTAATGCCACCAAATATCTTTATACACACACACATACATATATAGGAAAAATGATAAAATGAGATGGTGAGATGAGATTCTTATCGTCAGCTAGTCCAATTAGCTACCAGTATGATGATCGATACTGTCTATTCCGAGTTTTACCCCACATGATTTATATGTAGAAAAATTACATTATTTAGAGATCTTTAATCATTATTTTATCCATGTGCCAAAGGGACAATTATTAAGTTGTTTGAAATATCAACATATTAAATTGGTTTGCTTCCTTTTTTAGGAGACTCCAAACTATATGAAAATTGCATCATGCACATTTGATGATGTTTTGAACAAAATATACGGTGCCGATCATGAAAATGCTGAACCTATTAGTCTAGCGCATAATAATGTTTGAGCTCACCAGCTCACAAGTAACATATATATATATATATATATATATATATATATATATATATATCCAACTTTTCTCTTCTTTAAACTATGTTCAGATCTTCAGATCTCAATGGCCAACCTTAACCGTCCTCTACCTAAATCCCTAGGGACTCTGGACCCTTGTATTCCTGCAACCTAATAGTGCATCTTACGTCCTCTTCAATCGCATTCAGAGAAATAGTTGAAGGTACACCCAACGTGTGTGCTATCAAACTCCCAGAAATAGTGTACGAGATAGAGAGTTCCATCAAAGATGAGCACGTCTCAATCAGTTATGCATTACTATCTATTATCTACCACCTCTAACTTAAAAAGCACAACCTCAAAATTAGCTTCCATTCTACATCAAACACTATTCTTGGTACAGTATTCTTGGTACAGTACGATTCAGAATATTAAAATCACTGTTCATACTAGATAACATTTTCTTCTTCTCGGCACACTATTAGCGTGTAAACGATTTCCCCGTGAACACTGTTCATGCTATAGTATAATTTTTGGATCTTACGCCTACTCTGTATGCTACAGTAAATTTTTTGGGTCATTTTCTCTACTCTTTAGGCTGAAGTAATATTTTTTTAACCTTAAAATCAGTACTCATAATACCCACAACAGGGCGAGCTTAATACTAATAGTATTAAGGAGAGTTTTTTTAAAAGAGATCAATTTTAAAAAATATTTAGCAAAAACGACTATTATGCTAAATATTTAGCAAAATCGATCTCTTTTTTGCCGTCTCACAAAGGCTGGTCAAAAAGAGGTCGATTTTGCAAAATGTGGGTTTCAAAATACACGGGACTAACAGACTACTCGTCCCGTGTGTTTAAGGCTGGCTAATCAGCCACTTAATACACCACATAATTCTCACGAGAATAGTAGTCCCGTGAGTTTTCAATAGCAAAAAACACAAGCTCCAGACCCTCGTGTGATGC